GATGCAGCGCGGGGGTTGGAAGGCGGCATGGCGGGGAGGAGGTGGCACCCGCAATCCCTGTCCCCTTCTCCCCGGCCTCCCCTGCGCTTCCAGGGCAGCGCACGGCAGGACGGGAGGACGCGTCCCCCTCGGCAGCACCCGCGTCTCCTCCCGGCGGCAGCGGGAGCAGGGACTCCCCGTCGGGAAGGGCCACTGAAACATCCCCAGGACCCGTCCCGGGGCTTTGCTGGTGGCCGTGGTGGCCCTCTCCTGTGGGGACTTCCCAGTGGAGCAGGCGCGCTCGCTCCAGGTGCCCCTGTTGTGAGTGCCATGGGCAACGCTGGCGTTGGGGCGACACGACCAACGTGGGCGTTGGCACAAAGTGCGCGTCAGGGCAACATGGGCCCTGCCGCGATGCCAGGGCCACGCGGGGCTCCAGCTTCGTGGGAATGCAGCTGGGCGCCACCATCCCCATCCGCATCCGGCTTCGCAGCCACGGCCTGGAGCGCTGCACGGGGGCGCATGGCACTGCAGGGACGTGGGCGCGCGCCCGCATCAGGAGGGGGAGTCACTTGTTGCAGAGAGTTCGGAGATTTCAGCGGGAGGGCAGTTGCATCAGTATCCCAAGGGTCCAACTTCACCGGGAAATTCCAGAAAAATAATAATTTAACATCGCTCCAGAATAAAGGAACTTTTAAATCACTTTTAGGGCTTTCATACAAGACAAGTGGCTGCCGAGCTAGTCGCTAGGTGCCAAGGGACTTGAAGGAAATTAATATTCAGCCTTGGAGATGGCACAGTACCCAGCTGGAGCAGGACCGGGATGTACAGCATATATTTAAGTAACTTTTAAATGTTTTTCTTTAATTAAAGCAAGGAGGTTTAGACACTTACTTGTCTTTGAATATGTTTTCCTTCAAATGTAGCGATAGCAGCATGTTAGACAGTATTGCAGCTGACGTGGTAGAGTTAGGGATAAACAAAAACATTTGGGAGTCTTTCTGTGCCCCCTTCCTCACCTCGCTGCCTTGGCCCTCGCCGCGGCACGTGGCTCTCGTGAGCACGGCTGCCAGCGCCATGTGCTGGGCACGTGCCGCAGCTCCCGGCGTCGCCTCCGCGCTGGGGGCTCCTGCTCGGGCTTCGGAGAAGCCAGAGCTCATTTCTGGTTTATCGAAGGCACCAGGGTGACGCGGGACTGTTGCTACAAAGGAGAGACCTTTGGTGCGGATGGGCAGAGGGCTCCGTGCAGGAGCAGGCGCTTCCTCTGCCGTGTCCCCGCGGCTTCTTGCGTGCGGGTGCGCGTTGCGAGGCTGAGCACGAAATGCTCCCCCCCAGCCTGGCCGCTCGTGGGCGCTGCTGCAGGCACCGTGTTTCGTTCGGTGTTGTATTTAGTGTATTTATTCAGCGTATTGCACTAGGACACTGCAATACCCCTAAGAACATGAGTGAAATCAGAGCTCCTGCAGAGCACGGGCTTGCTCGCACTCACTAACGGAAACACAGGACATGTTTCCGAGGACCCCGAGCCCTCTTCCCCGTGGGATGGATCCCTGTTCCCACTGGCTAGATGCAGGTTCCCAAGGGCACGGATCCCTGCTCCCGGCGGGGTGGATCCGGGTACCCA